TGATTAACACATCCTCTCTAGGTTTACTTGATAATTAAGATATTGAACATTTAAGGTCTAGAAATAAAGAAATCATCTGAAGATATGAAGTCTAAAATTGACAAATTAGTCTGACTCTGAACCCTCTCCCCTCTGTTACGCCGTCTTTCATTTTTAAAGATCTAATAGCAAAGGTTTTGCAAAAATAAATCAATACAGTGTAAAACAAATGTATGTATAATGAAGAAATAAATATTTAATGAAAAAAATAGATATGTGTTTGTAATATTGGTATTAACTTATTAAAAAGTGTCACTATCTCTTTCATTTTTCAACAAATATAGGCTCACGTGACATATGACGCGGGGCAGTCAATTTTGATCTATCGTAGACCACATCAGTATCAAACTGCCGATATTTCAACCTCGTCTTGCGAGGCCATTTTTATTTGAAACATCTTGAATTTGGTGTCAAAATAAAGCTGGTCACGCCCACTTTCAGAGTTATCAATGAATCATTTACTACGACTACTATATTCATTTAGGAGGCGTGTTAAGTTAACCAATCAGAAAAGACAATTGCTCCATATATGACAGTTCATTAACATATTCAGTGTTTACTATTGTTTTTCGCGTCATGACAACACGAGTAGTAACCAATCAAAATGCCGTATTTTATCACGTGAGTTCAGAGTGACATGCACGACATGTAAGTTTAGTCTGAGCTGATCGCGATGTTGAACAATTTCTTCTCGGAATTTGTCCAAAGAAATCAGCGATTCTAAATTAAGGTAGGAGCTCCCATTTCTTCCTGTACAAGTTTTAACTTATCTCTATCGAATCCTAAAGTTTTGGATGAAGATATGAAGCATACGTTTAAAAACGAAGCGATTAATTTGACGATCTGATTTTGCAATTTGCAATGGCCAATTTACTGCAAGTCTGCGTGTATTTGACAAGAGATAGCGCCAAGTCTTGTATCCGAATGCTTGTTAAGCCACTCAAAAACAAGATTCATATTTTCTAAATTTGATAACTTTGCAGAGAGCCCGTTTTCATAACCTGTTTTCCGCGTCTAAATTCAAACTGAGTAGGATTATAGGATCGCTGGGATTCTCAGTCAATGGCAACGGGTCTTCATTCCAGAACGCACATTAGTTGATTCTCCGTCATAGTACTTGTCTAAAGTCCATATCTGCTCTTTTACTGGCATACTTGGACATATTTCCCCTCCTTAAATTGTCCTCCTTAAATAACACCCTCTCGCCGATTTATATATAGCCATTTCCCAGAACCCGGGAGTCAGAATCGCTGATGTTTGCCATATTGAACATGTTGAAATATGTACTGTAATATCTGTAATACTAGGCATTGCCTGCTACGCGTAAGGGTCACGTGACTAGCGCGATACAGGAAAAATGGGGAATTTCGAAACAACAATTTTTGGGCACTTTTATTGCAAATTTCAGGTATTTATAAGTGTTTGTGGTATAAAATATAATCCACAGACATAAATGAACATCCAAACTACATATTTTATTACGTTTTGGAGCCTTTTTTGCTTTTAAAATGACATCTTTAATCGATGTGCATCTAAGGTGTGAGATCCATTTAAAAAAGGCACGACATCACATGATATAGCAAAAAACATAGATTTTTACAAGCTGGTGAAGTTGCGCCTTTTTAAATATATCTCATAACTTAGAAGCGTATCGGTTCAAAGATCAAAAAAAGCTAAAAACTTTTACTAAGATTGAGATGACGCCAGATGAGTCGAATACCCGTGGGTTCTGGGCTTTGGGTCGAGTCGAATCAATTCCAAAGTTGATGAATCGAATCAATTGCGTGTGGAAAAGTTTCGAATAATCTTAAGCATTTTCTCTAGGTTTAATTTATAAATCAAGATTTTACAACTTAAATGTAAAATATAGAGCGTACCATACCTTATTAACAGTTGCGTTTGTGAAATAAGAGAAAACCAGCCCATTTACATGGAATTGTGATCGATTTAAGTTTGAGTTTCTCATAAAATTAACAGGAAGTGATATCTGGAGTCTTTACACATGCCATCTATACTTATAATTGCACTTTTTTCACAGATTGTTGAATCGATCAATCAATCTGGTTTACCCAGATCTGTCTTTTGCAATCAAATGATTTTCAGATTTCAAAAATATCTAAATACAGGGTGTCCAAAAACAGATCGAAGTAAAGTTGTTTCAATCGGTCAATCTTGCATATTTTGCATTATAATTTCAGAATTATTCAGTTCATTCAATATGAATTTTGTTGTGAAAGTTTGCTAATCTACCTATTGAGTCAAAAAATTACAATGCCTACAAAACGTATTACATTAAAATGATATTCCCACATAGCTAGGTAAGGTTTTCTTTAAAATTCACCCATATCGCAGTTGTTAGAGCATTTATCTGTGGTTGGTCACAATCTTAGCTTTTATTAGTTTGCATGGCGAAACTTTTGGAATCTTGATTCACCTTTTAGTTCAACTGAAATCGGGGGGTTGTCAAAAACGAAACAATTTCGGCAACCATATTGAATGACGCTAACTGCAGTTAGAGTCAACCAGCTGTGGAACAGTGGTCATGTAAAGATTTGACAACAACACTTTAGAGGAATTATTCATCAGCACGATGCAGTCCAGGGCTTAAGAAAATACTATATAGCATGCACGATCTGTTCTGCTATGCACCAAGTAATGCTTTATCTAGCTATAGCTCCTTGCACTGGCATATCTTGCGCCGAGTAATTTTTTATCTTGCACTTGAATGGCTTTACCATTAACCAGTAACTATTATAGCTTTCACTTGTTAATGCAAAGTTTGTATCAAAGAATATCCGGAAGTTTTTTTCATATTTTGCATATTAAATTGGAAACATAAGATTGACAAATCTACAGCCTATGAGCTAAAAGCAGTCCTCAAACAAATTGTGTAAAAACAAATTAATGTTTTATTTGGCAAAACGTGTATATTTGTATTTCTTTATGATACATAGATGTCTATAGCTACACTATATATAAATACTACATTTACATACAATAAATGTACAATCAAGAGGATAACAATAATTGATCATTTATTCCATCATTTCGTGCAGTGTAGTCTAAAGCTACCATTGTATATACACTCCCCCTTAAAGGTTTGGCAATCCTGATATTCTATTGGACAATCGAACATTAAGGCTTTAACATGTAGTCCAACAGGTAGGTTTATGTTGCCAAACTTTTGGAGGGGAGTGTAGGTGAATGGGAAACCCTTTTTATCAGATGAGTAAATTACTACAACAGTACTGTCGTTTTAGTACTGTCGTTTCTCAAACATAAGCAACTTAATGGGCTACGAAAGGATTCACAGGTGGGGAATTAATTGTACAAGAAATCACTTGACAACCCATCAATCGAGGGAATGTACTTGTACATCGACCGAATGAATAGGTTTTTCATTATTACTACAAAATTGCATAAATTAACATGTGAGATGCCGAATTAGTACTGGTTTATGGTCTATATAAAACACACGATAAGAAGATCTAGACATATTCAATAGACATATTCAATGGCCATGGGCTTCGGGTAATACACCTTGCTAGAATCATTGAAGATGAACAGGTATTCACCTCAATAGTATGAAATCTCATTTTATAATGTCTTAAAGACGCTACTCGACAATACTCGTATAATATTGTTTTGTTACTCTAACTATACCACGTGCAGTTTACACTGAACGAAACAATCAACAATCTACATGTATTGTACCAGATTTTGCAACCTCTTATACAATCAAGCGCAAAGACTTGTATCCGTATCAGCTAGCATTCGCTGATATCAACTGCCGGCTGTCGGCTGACAATTTAATTGCTATGTTATGGCCAGCTGATCTATCATTTAAATATGGTTCCTTCTACTATTCATATTCAAATTTAAACGAATTAGCCGTAAAATAACAATCAGATCGTTAGTCGATATCCGGCAGCTGAATTCGTGTATTTGAGAATGTGAGCTTACTTCCAAGGTTAATCATGTACAGGTATAAAGAAAGTATCTGGATTGGCAATTGTACACAGGACTGTGCAAGTATGATATGTGTTGTTTAAAGCACCATAATTTATACTTATGTGCAAAATAAAATATTATCAGCAACATAGGCTTCCTTGTGTTATCATCTTTTTGCAACGAGCAAGTATCTAACAGCAATTTGAGCGACTGAATCATGCATTCATTTATAATCTACATTATCAGCACATTTTAATAAAAACTTTAACGGTGTATAGATGGAAAGGATGTCAATTCATCAATCCTATGTTCTTTCCTTTTCTTTTACATGGAACACAAACTTATGGGACACATTGGTGTGGAAAACCCGGTCTTTTTAACTAATGACAAGTTTTCAGGAACATCACTCTCACCATACTTTTGCCAACCGAAAATCCCAATTTTGGTTGTTTGCAGTCCATTTCAGTTGGGTTGTATATCGGATTAACATAAGAAACATACAATCAATAGATCAAAGTACAATCATTCATGAAAAATGTATATTTACATCCAAAACGTTTGTATATTTCAAATAAATTATTTAGTTTTACTTGCAATAATTTAAACCTTTTATATTTCACTTGGCTTCTTGTGATTTAGAGAGTTTCAGCCGTGTTCAATTTTAAATCACATGTTAGAGAAGATTTGGGGTCACAAGTTTCATTATTAAACATTTTGGTTGGAAAATAGAACATTTGATGTTTTTCCATATGATACTGCACTGTGCTATGTGGTCTTTTGATTGCTTATTTTCCGTTCCATTGAGTCATATTTGTTTTCCATATTGATGTCGGAAATTACCACTTTGATTTTGTTACAGTCGTTGAACATGAAAATGCGTTTTCACATTCAGATGGGTTTGGAGTGGAGTTCCATAAATCCACCAGAATAACTAGGGGATGGAACCCTCATTAGAAAGCACCTTGATTTCTGAAAGATAACAGAAAAATCATTTTTTGTGATTTAAACTATGAACCTATGGTGTAATGTTTCTTACGAGTATAACAATATGCGCTTTTGGTTGCCTCGCCTCTTCAATTTTGACTTTTCTGTTTTTGAATCCCGGCTTGACCAATGAAGAGGTTAAATATCCTAACTTGTTGTTTCTTTTAATTGAGTTTCTCGCTTCCTACCATCGCGTTCTATTTCATTAACAGTAGTTCCGTTACTTTCCATTGGAAATCAAAGTTCCCAAAAGCCTGCGAATTGTGTGTAGGCTGCAGCCTGCTAGCGTACCTATGTCAATCCCGTTCAACTTGTAGAGTTGTTTTAATTCGTTCCAAATTTTGATAAAATGAAATGAAATTATTCTGGCACTTGATTATTTTGAGTATGTCAAATTGCCCGGCGTCCACCTTGGAATAAATGTAGCTATGTCAATCAAACCACGCTTTATTAGTTTAATGGGGTGTTGTATCTATATATTTAACCCTATTACCTACTATTGTGTTTATTCTTCCTCCTCGTCAGGCAGAGTTTTCACATAATTGACATTGTCGTAAATACTATACTTTGAGGCACTAATATTCGTGATTTCTGGCGGAAGGAAGACGGTTGGCGTACTGGATCCCAAGTCTGGTCCAACAAAATTCGGGCTAACTTGAGATTTTTGCAGAGTGTTTTCTATCACTGGACTTTGCATTGAGTCAGAGTTTCTCCTCTCTCGATGGAAGAGATTATCAAAATCGGTGTCATCAAAAACTGGTCTCTGTTGGGCACCAGAGGTCGTTGACTGTGTCGATGACGTAATGGTCACGTGACCTTCAAACTCTTGATTTCCCTTTGCAGGGTTATCCACAATAATAACTTGTCCAGGTTTTGTACCACTTGTACTATGCCTAACTGCTGCGGGACTACCTGGTACTTTCAGTATTCCATTTCGAACGGGTGTACTCTCCCTTGGATACCGTATAGGATATGTCCCACTTCCGGCTAAATCAGCAGCACCGGTTGTTGCCATGGTGACATGTCCATCATGTCTACCCATACTACTGGAGCTGTATTCTGTGTGGTGTTCTTGTCGTTGAACAGTTTGATAATTCTGTTGAGTTTGATTTGAGATGTAAAGTGGAGTTAGGTTTGGGTTACCGCGTGATTTGGTTTCCTGGGTAGGGACAGTGTCTAGGTGGTCGAGATTTGTATTAAATCCAGTTCCCTGTGACCCTGTATTCCCGCTCATACCACCGTAGCCCGACGTACCATATTGATTGTAAGGAACTTGGTTCTGCGTATGTTGTTCATTCTGGACACCAGTGACACCAGCGTTCGCGTTGTTATTTTCTTGACTAGATTTATGATGTAACCAGGGCGCATGCGCATGGCTTGGTGGATATTCTCCGAAGCCTTTTTGTGGTTCCTCTTTCAATGGAGTTCCTTCAACCTGGAAATAGAAAAAATCAATTCAAAAAACAATTGCTCATTGAAAGTGTCACATGCAGCATAGATGGTCAATTCTGAAAGGATCTGAAAGACATAGGTAGTGAAGTGAAACAGAGGGTAGTGAACATTCCATGGTAACATTTAGTAAGGATTAAAGAACAAGATTGGACCGACCAGTACTTAGTTTAATTAAATGTGCTTTAAAGTTAGTGCATTGCAAATATTAGTCACCGTTTTTAGAATAACAATGAATGTTATTGGCATGCAATCAAACAGAAAGTAAAGTAGGCTACTGTTGTGTCAGCATGGAGAGTGTGGAGTGTTGCATCTTGGGTAGTCTCGTTTCCGTCACGTGTATCAAAAGAAGATGTCTTGACATGGATTCCATCTTGCTCATTTTCCTTTTTTCTCTCAATTATTATCATTTGAACGTGCTGGGGGTTATCGGATTCGACTAGAGCATATTCTCCTCGATTTGATAACGTGTTCGTTAAAGGCACTTTCCTGAGATTTCGTTCTATGACAAGAGTATTAGATTCGTGTGTTTCGACCACTGGCGAAGACCGACCCATTTGCCCTGGTTTACTTGGCACAATTGTAATATTTCCATGTCTCTTGTCATTCACACTTTTACCATTCTGTTGTAAATGACCATATGAATTGCTGCTTGAACCATCCACCTTCTGAAAAGATACATCACCTTCTGACAAAAAACTGGGTTGGTCTGTTTGGTCAAGAAGGCGTTCTTCAATCACGTGTTCGATAAACTCTCAAACGATCACATTTTTTGAAAATAACGTGCAGTATTTCATGTTCAGATTAACTGAGTACTGACACTGTAAAAATGCATTAAACTACGTGGTCACGTACTTCATGTACATATTTAGAAATGTATATCCAAACAATATTAATTTATATTACAAAAATTTTGTCCACGCTCAGTGAAAATACTTCTAATGTAAGTTGATCGAACATATGATTGATTAAAGAAATTAGAAGGAATAGAGTGTCAAATAGTCGCATCTTTATTTTCTAAAAACGAATACAGATCAAGTGTTGAAGATAATGAAGATTTCGGTCTTTTCAAGACTATGGGCAGATAACCTTTAAAATCAAAGAATAAGTCTTAATTTAATTTTAGAAAACAGACATAACATGGAAAATGAGAGCAGAAAATATCAAAAACTCTGACAATTTTTTCAAAACTTCAGCTAGCCTCTATTCATCCTAGCCCCTTTAATTCTTGAACGAAAATAAGCACACGTTGAAAACTTGGACTTTTACACCCTGGATGAATAGGACAGGAAGGAACTTGCATAACATGCGGGAATCAGGCATTAACAACATAAGCATGCAGCATCCTATTCCAAAAGGAGCCCACAAAGATAACATATATGCAACACGTTGGTGAAACGGTACTCGCTAAGTTCATAGCAATACCGTTAAACTGTGCCAGTTACGTAAAACGTTTTGAGTTCGAGAAGAGGGCATAGGAGCACCATAATTAGTTAAGAGCTTCTATAGTTTGTTATCTTATGGGTAGTTTAGACAAACCATGATAGAGAAAAAAATCATAATGGGGTTACCAAAGGGAAAACAGTGACATGCAAAATGTACAATTAGATGTAAATAGATGTCACTGAATTAGGCTCCGAAAATTGGTAAAAAATAACCCAGCACTGGCGTAAAATAAATACCGAGTCAGCGTTTTTTCTGTTAAAGGTATAATCCATGATCCAGTCAATCACAAATGCATTCAAACTTTACTAATTTTCCTCTCAAGACCTTATCCCGTTGGAGAGTCCACTAAATGGGGTATTTTGGTCTCAATTTAAGTATAAAGTATTCAATATATTACACGAACCTACATTTGGGTCTAATACCTTTCTGATTGATTAACCATGTAGTTACTTTTCGCATGTCATAGTATACCCTTTGGGAACCCCATCCAGTATTTTTTGTCATGTATTTTCTACCCACAGTATCTTAATGGACATTTTAATTAATTTAAAGCCTTGCCTTGTATTCGCGAATGCAACTAACGCCCGTCGGCTACCGGATTAACTTAGTATTTGATAACCTACTCATTTAAATATGAATGGAATGGTGACTGGTACTATTCATATTTAAATGAGTTGCCCATATTATAGTAAGTTAATCGCGAATACAAGCTTGGACAAAGCTTATGATTACCATACTAGTGTGTAGCGTAATACGTTACATGTACATGATGTATGTAAGGATTAATAATCAGGTGTTACATTAATATATACATAAACCTTGAGGTTACAATTATTAGTAACATTACGTCATAGCATATGTTTAGAATATGTAGCATGTCGTAATACTTGATGGGCTGCTGTTCAATTTCTTATTTCTCAGGGAGCATAATTTTTACATGGCATATATACTTGTAGTATTCCCTCTATATATTTCCGACGACTGATTAGGAACTGAACAGTAGTTCACATCCTCCTGGGTAGGTATATCCAGAATCCGTACCTCCTTCGTAAAAATAAAGAAGATATTCTGGATTTTGAAGCCCTGTGATCGGAGGATGAGTAGTTCAAAACTTACAGATTTCCCCTGTATGACCCTGGCCTCTTCAGCGATGATCCAATAGGCGTGAATGCATAGAATAAGACAGATGAGCAGAAGACAGAATCCAAGGCCGATCAAAACACTTCCCCAGGGCCGGAAGATCCTGAAAATACACGGAAGAGTAGTTAATAATTGTGGCTTGCATTTTCTACCCCTTGAATACCCAGAGACACGGATATATCAGACTAAGAATATCTCACTAAACTGCTCTAACTTTGATAAAAGATGGGTATCGATATGGCGAACTTTTTGAACACCCGTTTCTCTTTAACCAGTCATCAAAACATTCCGTTTACACATTGTCAATTTAATGGTCAATTTTTGAATGGTAACAATATAATTTGAAAAGTATATGTATACTTTCATCTATATTGTTTCAGAAAACACATCAAACACTTGTTTTGTTCTTGCTATCATGTTTCCATAGTGAAATGAAACGTCTTTCCGAACCTCATTGGAACAAAACGACATAAACACAACATGTTTAGGTCTCTCAATATTGTAATTGTACAAAGGACGACATTTTGGTTAATTTTAAAAAAGTATCTTGTTAATGAGATAAAAGGTTTATCTTGATTTTTATCTATTTTGGGGGGATTTTGTTTTAATTTTTTGAATACTTTTTTAGAATTAACCAAAAATTCCATTGTATAACTATGATATTGAGAGGTCTAAAAACATGTTGTATATGCTATTTTGTTCCAACAAGGTTCGGAAAGACACTTTATTTCATTTTCAAGAATTGGTAGAAAGGAGCAAAAACTTTTCGAAATAAGAAAACAAAAATGTTAACAAAAACATTTATATAAAATATTTCTAAATAATTTTCGCATTAAATTGTTGCCAATCAGTCAACATTACATAAAATACCGTGTTTTTTACAGAATGTTTTCAATGATTGGTTTAAGACAAAAACACTGTTGAATTCAGTTCTCCATATCGATATCACTCCTTTTGTTTGTATTTCCAAAATATCAAACATTGTATATTCAGGAAGAAACTTGGAAAAAGCAAGCTAATTCAAGAGTTTTTTTGACTACGTTGGGCTTTCGACTATCTAATTATCACTCGGCCTGTTACACGATATATAGGTACCTAAACTACCGTAGAGTAAAATTACGGGAATAAACGTTAATTTGTGTGTGACTGTCCTAAATGATATTATAAATGGAAGTGAATATTAAAAATTTACAACATACATACAGTGTTATAAAGACAGGGTGGGCCAAAAACACCACTAGCCAATATTCCATTTTTCCATTATTTAACTGTATGGTAAAATAATTGGGTAGAAGTAGGCTAATGTTCGCAAAATCGATTAAACCTGCACATCGCTCCAAAACGCAATATGTTGACATATATTGTTTTTACATTTTTAAGCTCTAATATAAAGTTTATGTAAATAAAAAAAAAATTTCTGCGTTATATCGTCGTCGCCGATCGAAGCAATTCAATGAATAACCTTTGAAATGACACATTTATCGTAAGTATTTCTACACAAGATTTGCCCCATTTGTTCATCATTCTATAATCTTTCATTAAGCTCAAAATGATAAAGTTCACCCCCGAAACAACCCATGATTGCGTTTTGGAGCGATGTGCAGGTTTAAGATTTAGAAGGTGTTTTTGAACCACATGTCACATAATTGCGCTTTGTAGTGCGCATGCGCGACGTTGATATTGCATGCTTGATTGTCCAAGAAATAAGTGATAAGCTATTCATTCTTAGATTACTCCTGGCAAATTCTGCTCCTTCGGGTGTAATATGAAACGGGAATGGTTATTAAGAGGGTACTGGTATCATCGTTTTCTCAAGAGATCGATAAGTAATGAAAGCATTAAAGTGTAACATGTCAGATACAAGGATAATGAATCAATGTTGAAATGATGGCATAAAGATTATCTTTCTTATATGGTTATTCTTGATATTGAGCGTGGCAGATTTGCATTGTTCACTTTACTTTCACCAGAGACTTTTAAATCCACAGAGGCGACTTTTTTATAATCTTTATATTCGTATGTGTCTGGTTTCTCTGGTCCATTCGTTTGTTCGTTCCTTAACTTCAAATCACAATTGTTTATTGAACATTTTCACCGTTTTCTATATATTATTAATGATATTTTTAACCGTCAGTAGCGGTCAGAGTTGAATATAACCATGGCGCTTTCAAGGAAATTGTTAACACCTACCTAGTTAACACTAGTATGATATGACTGTATGTATTGAGGAATTTGCGCTATTTCATCGATTTACGCCCCATGGCAATTAATACGAAACCCTAGATGAGACAATTCTCAATTAGAAAACACAAATTAGAAATAACATCCCCCCTCTTCCTACACACTGATTTCAATAGCAAAATAGAGAGAGATGAAAAGCGATCCAGGCGTTATTTAGATTTCAATGTTCAAGGTTCTACTCGTTCTCAAGGTCAACTTAGCTTTCTTTTCTGGAAAAAATAAGATCTTGTGGGATAGGTTATCTACTTCCATAAGAACGAACAAAAGTTCAACAAACATGATCTAACAGGAAAACAATTTAACAATCTCATATTGCTGATATTAAGACAACACAACCTTTGTAAGTGTTAACCTCTAGGCCTCTAAAAGCGTTTTTCCCAGTTTATTCAATTTTACGTTATTGAGAATACAATTGGAGAGAGTAATATATTGGAAGCCATCTTAAAAATGGCGTCCAATGTTTCCTTATTAACAATTTCTTAAAAATATTGAGAATTTGAGATATCCGATCAAATATAGAAGAAATCGAAGATATTGGTATGTTCAAATTTACTCTCAGCGTTTTTTAAATACAATTTGTTATGTGGCATATCACTGAACGAAACAAGACTACCAGACAAACTTCCCGGGTATTAGCAAATGTAGTAAAGATACACCCATACAGTAAATTTGATTAATATTGTTAAAGTCTTGCTTTCGAGTTAAGAGGTATTTAAAGTGAAAGGTATGAGACCAAACAGGTTTTTATTTGAAAGATATCCCAACCTGGTACGTCTAGGACACCATGCACTCTAATAACAGTTGTTGAAAAATAATAGCATTTAGCAACCCTAGATATTTGTTTTTTAGGTAAAATAAGCGTACCGTGAACGTTGTGTCTACTGATTGGGTACCAATAGTGCCTTCGCTTCTTTTTCAAGTTTCGTTTTAACCATTATTTCCATCGAAGTATAGATCTTAGTTCCAAACTTGGATAACGTTGTTTATCTTAAAAAGCCAATGCTTTATGACCAATGTATATCAATTAATATTTGAGCGAGGGTACAGTCCAATTGAAATGTGTTTATCTTAAAAAGCACATGCCTTTCAAATGAGCCATGACTTATGTCTTAGCAATTTTTCCTTGCAGGTATAGACCAAACATACGGATTTGAATTTAGCAAATTTTCTCTAATCTTTGGCACATTTTTGGCTCTGTAGCACAATTTCAATTCTTGATAAGACCGCATGTTCTATGTTGATGTTCATTTGCTGTTTTGCTGTTGACTGAATCAAGGGTACGGGATACAAATGTGTAGACTTTAATTTGCCCAATGTTGAGATTTCAATTGATAGGACCAAAGTTTGGGGAATTGTTCAATTATGAAGGATGACTCAATCATTGTACGCTGAAATAACTTCAGCATTGCAGGATTGTATCGAAAAAATCCGTTTGTATTTTCACTGGAACGTCCCGACCTTGCAATGTGTTAGTTTTAAATGTATCTTCATGCCTAATCAACATGTACAAAATACATCAAAGGGAGTTTCCTTGGAAACGGCTAATTTTTATATAAGTAGGTCAACAGGCTTGCGGTATCTCAGAGTTTTTCAATAATGCGTTTGCTTATGGGCAAAAAACAATTTTTCTCCTAATATCAGCGTTTATCTGTTAAGTGGTGCTTTTGGTTTACCTCAATTAATCTTTCAGGCGGAACCAAGATTTTAGGGATCACGTGTACCGCATTGCCATTAATCAAGTTTCTGTGAGAGGTTTCTTTTACTTTTTGATAGGTAATGCATTACGTTTGGAGTAAACTAAAGTGCTTATCCTTGACTTTTACTCCCAGACATCAATCTTGCGTGTAGCCTCTAAAGAAATCCCATAAAAAACTGCCAAACTATTATTGTGTGGAATTTCAAGATTAAAGTCTGACATTTATGGCTTTGCTGGTACGCTACCTCGAGCCCGAATCTACACTCCCCTCCATAAGTTTTACAATCGGGGGTCCCCATTTAGATCACACATTTAAAGACGATTAATCTTTCGGATTAAAAGATATCAGTAGATAGAAAACTGAGGGCATCAGAACGCCACGGGCCGCCACGGGCCCGGGGCTTTCAAAATCTCTGAGAGATAAAGATGAGCAGGAGATATTGATGAGCAGGAGATAAATTAATTGAATGGGGATTAGGAGATAAATTAATTGGATGGGGCTTTCATCTTAAATGTGTAAAAATGTTAGATAAGATGCGCATGACATCATTGTTATCTAAATGGGTGAGGACTGGCGGGCCCGGGGCTTTCAAAATCTCTGTTTTTATATTTCTCATGAGAGATAAAGATGAGCAGGAGATAGGATGGGGATTAGGAGATAAATTAATTGGATGGGGTTTTCATCTTAAATGTGTAAAAATGTTAGATAAGATGCGCATATCATCATTGTTATCTTAAATGGGTGAGAAATGTATTTCTTGGACTGAATGTCTTTAGTAAAGTACAAAATAAATCCCTTTCATATTATTTTAAATTTGGTATAATCCATTAACAGTGTTTACAATTCTACTTTCAATATTAACCCAACATTGAAAAGAATCAATAATCCTATTGAGCTGGTCAAACAAATACTGTTTGCATAAAAGGAAAGAGAACTGGATTTTGGATTAAATATGTGTACAGATGAAAAGGTTTATTTATTTAAGTCCTATATTGAATTGACCGTTGAAAAGGTTTATTTATTAAAGTCCTATATTGATCATACTACTCTACTTGATTTCAACAATAATGGTCTTTTAATGTAATAATTGAATGTTGACATTTAATTATGTCATCACAATGTTAATCCTTCATATTCTAGAACATCTTTTGTTTAATGTGTTAAT